AGTGTGAATGATTATTAAAATATGTTGCTAATTGTATTCTTTTTTCTGAATGAATAAACAATTTTACATGTTCAGTAAAAGTTTTGCTGATTACTTTTAATTTACACAAAAACTGAGATGCCTCCTAGCGGGCACCAGAATGAAGTCCTTAGTCTCTAACTTCCAACCAGGCCGTATGTGATGTGGTAGCATGTTGCTGTACTGTTAGTATTACACAGCAAAATCTGGAACTTTTGTGAACTTGTTTTGCATGGATAGTTTTCTTAGCAAATCAGTAGATTAGTGTAATTTCTCTTTACATGATTGAGGAAAATACTTGAATTCCAAATCTGTCTAATGACAAATGGAGATAAAGTTCTTTTTTCATTAAAATGAAATAAAGAATGGACATTGTCCTGTAATATTTCTTTATGGCAAAGCACAATATGAAATGATAGTCATCATAACAGAGGACTGCTATCCTTACAGGCTTGTTTTTCAAGTAGATTATAAGGAATTGGGAACAATTTAGCAGTATTGGTTTGCTACTTGCTACCTTCATAACTACCTACTATCCTGTCTCTTAGGGGCTTGTGAATAGGCTAATAGTTCTGGAGATGTAGGTTCTTTGTTTAATCACGGAACATGTACAACTTCCCTAAAATGAGAATTTTAGAAGGAAGAAAGCCAGTAAATGGCTACATAAAGTTTACCACTACAATAGCACCTCAGGAATAGAACTTGTTCATAACTCTGGAAAAAAAATGAATGGTTATTTTTTCAGAAGTTTTAAAACTGCACATTGACTTAATACAGCTTTGAAACTTTAGACGGTGAAGAAGAAAAATGTTGCCCCCCCCCTTTTTTTAGTAGTTTTCATTAACACAGTGCTATACTGTGTTTACTCTTTGTTTATTTGTATCTGCTGTTGCCAGGGTGCATACTTCCGGTTCCAAAAGGTGTGTGATTGCCTGTCTGTTCATAACTCTGGTGTTTGTAACTTTGAGATTCTACTGTATTTTTGTGGCTATGACTTTCTTCTGAGCATTTACTAAATTCAGATTTTTCAAAATCTGTTAGCCATTCTCATTGCTCTCTTGATTTATTTAAAGGAATACTCATATGTTTTCAATCTTGAACTACAACTAGCAAACAGTCAGAGAGACCTACCTTGCAATATCCTGGGATGGTTTGTGATGTTTAAAGCCAGAAGAAACCATTATGTTAATCTAGTCTGACCTTCAAAATATAGACCATAGAATTTCACCCAGTGGTATACAACAATATATTTGGTGGTGGCTTTGTGAGTCAGTGATGCTGACTATTTTTGCACTGAGAGACACATCCCAAAGAAATGTCACGGTATTGCACTGTAATTATTTTATTACACCATTCAAGACAATATCTCTTCTTTTCATTCCTATCCCAGTGCTGAAGAGGGAAAATCTCCCTTTTCTGGTTGGTTTGAATGGGAAATGGGGAAGGATTCCACAAGCTTCTTTTCTGTCCCCTTCTCATGAAGAGGAGCTTCATACGCTATTTTGACTTGCGCAGTGCTATCTGCTTGTACCATAAAGATACTCACATTTTTTGATACCGTGGTGACAGCTTGCCATGAACTCAAGGATAGCACCTATGTACATACTTTTCAACCAAATATTGTAAATGGACACAACCACAGTGTTTTTCTGGACTCTTAACATCGTTGCTGCTGAAATTAACCTATTAAAAAAACTGCTGCATTTGATCAGTTTTCTCCTCACTTCATGCTGACAGGTTGTATTTTAGAGCAGCCATGAGCTGCACTGTGCATAACCTTTGTGCAGCAGTTACCAGAGATCATGTACTGTATAATAGTTCAATGTGTTATCAGGAATAGGACACATTTTCACAGAAAATTATCTTAATTTTAGCTTTGTTTTTGTACATTATAACTTACACTTTTAAAAAAATCCTATTTGTACTTAATATTATTTAAATTCTTCAGACCGGATGACACTAGCTCTGGTAACTTGAGTGTTTTCCATCAGTCAACATTGCACTCACACAAATGTTCAGGGTCAAATTATTCTTGCAGATATATTAATTTATGGTTTCTGTGAACTTTAAAGGAAGTTTTATATATGTACTCAGTGGAAGAATCATGACCCTTATTTCTGTGAGACAGGGGTGGGGAACCTTTTTTGGATCGGGGCCACTGACTCTCACACAAAAATCAATCCGTGAAAAGCAAGACAAACCTTCACTAACATGGCCTATGACTGAGGAGAAAAATTCCCCACATTCTCCTCACACACCAGAGCTTGGGAGGCTCAGGCTAGTAGATTCTGTGTGCTCTGGCCCCGTGGGGGAGCATTGGGGGTTGGAGCACACAGAATCTACTACTCCTTTAAATAAATCGAGAGAGCACCATTGCGGGGGGAGGGGCAGCAAACTAGGCATCAACTGGCCCCCGGCCTGAGGTTCCCTACCCCTGCTGTAAGCCATCTCTTCTAGGGGAGCTGTGTGTGTTTGAATATATACTTATAGTAGATTACATGGATATAGAATGATTCTCAGGTCCTTACTATAGAATGGCCATGCAACATTGTCCATTGTAGTTTTAAACTAGAAATTTAAAACAGAAATTCACACTGGAAAAGCAATAGGAGATACTCTACTTTAACTTCTTATTTAAAATTGTGAATGATAAGCATTTTTCTAGGCAACACAAGTAAGGTTTTATCACTGGTAAAGCTGTTGTAGTCACGATCACATTTCTGTGCTTTGTAAACCAAGCAAAACCTGACTAACATGACTGTCCATATGCCTGTGAAGTAAAAAGATTAGACTATATTTGATACTAACAAGCAGCTAGGGCCTATGAGTTCTATTTACAACTTGATAATTAACACATTATGTGACTTGGAGAAAGTCGCTAAGCCTCCCTGTTTCATCATACCCACTTACAAAACAAGAATATTGGGACTTTGCTACCTCTGTGGGGCTGTGATGTTCAATTACTTTTGCACATCAGAGTTCTTTGAGCTCCTCAGATGAAAGACACCAGTGTACAATTATCAAACAAAGGTCAACTGCTGTTGGATGTCTTGATTAGCTTCAAGTAGTCTTTGTTTGGCTAGCCAGGGAACAGGAACTTGCTGATCCTGAGACTGATATCTTTGCTTTCCACTACTTTTATACCCTTTTGTTCTGAGTCTAAGTATCCAAAGTCCTACTCACAAAATGACCAAATCATGGGGGAAGGAACTCAAGTCAAAATGGTGGCAAAACAGGTTAAAGAATATTTGGATAAGCTAGGTGAGTTCAACTCAGCAGACTGTCAAATAACTGAAGCAATTTTGGTACTATTACCAGTTAGTTATCTTTGGTTATCTTTTGTAGCTATCTTTAGAAAGGGGAACAAAGAAGACTTAAGGAATTGTAGATCAGTCAGCCTAATTTTAGTATCTGGAAAGGTATTAGAGAAAATAATTCAAAACATCTTTTTGTAAACTCCTAGAGGACGATAGGAGTATAAGGAATAGTGGATTTGTCAAAATCAAATAATGTCAAACCAAACTAATTTTCTTCAAAAGGGTTACTGATCTAGTGGATGTGGAGAAACCATAAATGTGATATTTTTATTTTAATAATGCTTTGGGCACAATCGAACATGACATTTTCATAAGAAAACTAGAGAAATGTGTATGGCAAACTAGATAGAATTACTATGCAGTGAGTGCAAACTTGTTGAAAGATGATGCTGAAAGAGTTATCAGTATTTCACTGTCAAACTAGGAAGACATATCTAGCTTGGTGTCAGAGGTTCAGTCCTGGATCCAAGACTATTCAATATTTTTATTAATGTTTTGCATAATGGACCACTTTCAAACACTTTGGAGAACAACAGTAGAACTCTAAATTACTTGACAAATAGGATAATTGGTCTCAAAGCAATAAAATTATATTAATGAACCCAAATGTAAAGTAATTCAATTAGAAAGGATAGATCAAGTGCACAACTACATAATGGGGATTAACTGGCTAGGTGGTAGTACTGCTGTAAAGGATCTGGGTGGTTATAATGGTCCTTGGACCACAGATTAAATGAATCAATCATAGGATGCAATTGCAAAAAAGGTGTATAGCTTTCTGGGTATATAAGAGTGTTGTATGTAAGACATGGGTACTAATTATACAGCTCTACTTGGTACTGTTGAGGCCCCAGCTGAAGTACTGTGTCCAATTCTGAGGGTGACACTTTAGGAAAGATGTAGAGATACAGAGAGCAGAAGAGTACAACAAAAGTGATAAAAGCGTTAGAAAATCTGACTTATGAGGATAGGTGGAGGAAAAAAAATTGGCCATGTTTTGGTCTTGAGAAAAGAAGACTGCATGGGAGGCTTATACATTTTCAAATACTTTAAGGGATTTTATAATGAAGATAGTGATCAATTGGTCTCCATGTCCAATGAAGTTAGGATAGGAAGTAATGGACTTACTGTGCAAAAATAATTATGTAGGTTAAATGTTAAGGAAAGCTTTCTTATTGTAAGGGTAGTTGAACTCTGGAACAGACTTGCAAGGGAGATTTTGGAATCCCCATCATTGGAAGTATTTAGGAACAGGTTAGACAAACACCTGGTAGAGATGGTTTAGGTTTACTTGGTTTCCTGTCTTAGAACAAGGGACTAAACTTGATTTCTCAGGGTCCAGCCCTACGTGTCTGATTCCATGTAAGGCTCCCATGTAAGTTAGAAGGAGTTTTATACACAAATCTGAGGATCACATATGCCCTCTTCATTGTTATAAATCGTTACAAATGCAGATCTTTAGATTAGTCCCTAAGCTTTGCGAAATACCAATTCAGAGTGATACTCTATAACATTTAACCTTTTTTGTTTGTGCTGTGTCTGACTTTAAAATGGATGGTATTAGAATTGTCTGGTTATCTTAATTCACGTCTGAAAGTGCTTCCATTTAAGAATTGTACATACATTACTGATACCTATTCAAATATTATCAAACCCTGTTTACAGACAGTGGAAAGCAGAGCCCACGAGCAGGCACAGGTGAACCTGTTTTAAGTTTGCACTACAGTACAGAAGGAACAACTACAAGCACAATTAAACTGGACTTCACAGATGAGTGGTAAGTTTTCTTTTTTGTTAGCTGTTGCACAGAATTTTCCATTTTATTAGCATTTGTTTGCCTAAAATAATTGTATTTCAGTTGTGTATATACCACTAAATATGAATTGTTTCCTGCTATTTCATGGTTTCGTAATAGTGCTTTACAGAGATTGTGACTATCTGATCAGGAATAAATTATTTTCGGTTTTCTATCTGTCTTCAGTCATCACCGGCAAAATTATTTTAAAAGTTGACCAAATTCTTTTTTATCTCTATCTTTAAATATATAGCAAAGAGTATATAAGGAATAGGAAAAGGGGGCTTTCATCATAAATCCAGCTAAAAGAGGTTTTGGAGCAGGCAACAATTGCAAAAGTGTGTTGTGAGTTTTCTAACTACAGTGAAAAGTAGCAGTACTAATAATAGTTCATGCTATAGAGCTTCAGTAATTTTGGTCCAAATCTTAAAACACTTAAGAGAAAAAATATTGTACAAAGTACTCATGAAATATGCATCAGTCGATTCTACATGAACTTGAAGAACTATTTCAAATAGAGATGGTAATGTGTAGTTGTTTACATGATTAACTGTAATGACTACATTCAACCTCTCCATTGCACGTGGGTCTGTAAAGGGTATAAAAGGAAATGCATCTTCTTTTTAGCAGTCTTTTAAATTGTACTTGTCTTTTAATCTAAAGATCTTCCTGCGCAGCTACAGAGTCTTAACATTTTAATTAAAAATTGGAATTCTCAGACATCTATAAAGTGCATGTCTATCTGGACATGAAGATTGGTCAAGCAGTGGGTGTTTAGATGTTTTCTTTATGTTGATACTTGTTAGATATTCTTTCGTTATCTGCTGTGCTTGAAGGGGACACTGCTTCTCAGGACTGGTCTACACTACAAAGTTAGGTCAATGTAAGCCATTTTGCATGGACCAAGTGGTGCATGGGTCTACACTTTGTCTAATACTGATATGACCCATTACAGCAACACAATAACACTACCTCTCTGAGTAGTGTTAAGCCACGGTCAATGTAATGAGCTCAATGCAGTGAAAGTGTAGTGCATATTATATTGTTCATAACAGTCCTCCAGCAGCTATCCCACAATGCTCAACCCTGAAAGCTCTGGTCGGTATTGTGAACTCCATTGTTCAGGGTCACTGAAGACTGCAAGACCCCACTCTCCTTAAAAGCCTTGCAGATTTTTGAAATTTCTTTTCCTGACTGTACAGCTCTCCGTCATTGTGGGCAGCAGACCATGCTCGCTACACTGTCCCAGAAGTGCTCCAGACAGGAGCAGATCTCTCCTTGTGGATCTCTCTTGGGGAGAAGAGACTATGTAAGCTCAGCAATGAACCATCTGTAGAAACATGGACATCTGTGAATGGATTGCATGGGGTATTCAGGAGAATGGGTATGAAAGGGATCAGCAGCAATGTTTTGTGAACCAAAGGAACTGCAGTTGGCATATCAGAAAGCCAGGGAGGCCAACAGTCAATCCGATACTGAGCTGCATGTTATACTTGAGAGAGACCTTGGTATACACTACGCTTACCAGTATAGACACCTCTGAGGAGCCCAAGTCAGAGGCCCATGGTGGTGAACAGGAAGGAAAAGTATGTGGAGAATGGAGGAATGCGTGACTGGGGGATCCAGCTATGCCACGAGCCAGTTAGAGTATCTGTTTGATATTCTCCTGCAGTCCAGTCAATCCTGGCAGTCGAGCATGGGTGAACCTGATGCAAGAGAAGGATCTTTGGGTAAGTGTGTAAATTTATTTCCCATTACACTGATGGCGCCCCTATCTTAACCAGACACAGCTATCAATTTTTTTTTAATTTACTAGTACTAAAAGAGGTAGCGGAACTATAGAGAGGCACTGTTGTTACCTGCTTATAATTCCCCTATAGAGTTAGGTAAGAGAGTTCATGAAATGCAGTTTATGTACCCAAGAATGTCACTTGAATCCTCCTGTGACATCTCAGTGAGGTGTTCACGGGGTACTCTGCAGTCCCTTCCTGAAGACTTCTAGGGATGACTGTCTCATTTCTTCCTTGATGGTGGGTTGCTTTCCCACATCAGTCAGCAATACCTTCAACAGGCACTATTGTAGTACATAGGCTAGCCATACATAGGCTTAGGTATTTGGGTTGTCACCAGCAGCTGTGCTTTCTTTGTCTTTTCCTTTGGGAATAAGATATCTGATAAAATAACTGCTCCCAGCAGAAAACATTGCCAATATTCAGTGCCCTTACCCAAGCAAATCCCTCCTAACTTTATCACCTTGTACCATGCTCTCCATGGATGGTAATGTGAGTGCACAAGTGTCAATGAGCATGTCTTGTGTAAAACTTCAGGGGAGAAGGGGAAGGGTGTTTTGAATCTGAATTTTTGCTTATTCTTGAGACTGTAATGATAATGGTACCACTTTTTGTTTTATCTGCAGCTACTGCTGTTACAGCATTTAGAGGTTCCCCCTGCAGATCGATGGAATGCCTGAGCTAGATAAGGTGAAAGAAGAGAACTTGAAATTACATGCTCAATGAGCTGCTGTAACCAGTGCTGCATCAGACTGTGAGCAAAGGACCTTAAGGGTGTATACAGCAGGCAGCCTGGAGAAAGGAAAAGCAGGGAAAAAAGCAGTAGATGCACCAGGACATAATGGGGCTTCTCCATTGGCAAACACAGATGCTGCAAACTCTTGTGGACCTACAGGCAGGGTGCTGGAAGTAGTGATGCTGGGGTATGGCAGCATGCTCTGGCTTGAAGTGATTTCTCTCATATAAAGGGTTTTCTGCTTTGTTAAATGTCTTTCAGCACCCCGCTATAAAAAATTGTTCCAACACCACTGTCTGCAAGTTCCACAATCATGGGCTTTCTTTGCAATCCATTAAGAACTCCATTTCAGCAGCTCCTTACACTTCCTGCCAATATTCCACATGACTTCAGGGCCTGCATCCCCACCCCTGCCACTTCATAATAAGGAGCATTAAGGGCACAGCAAACTTCACGTACACTGACTTGTGACAGCCGCTGTTGCTATATATGTAGGTAAAATAGACATGAATATTCATTCCCCTTGTTAAGTTATGTTTCATTAATATATTGTTTTTTATGTATTTACTTTTAAGTTGCACAGACTTTTTTGCATTAATTTGTTACTGAATAAAATTGTATTTGGGAAATCATTTTTATTAGTTCATATGTTGCAGAATGCTTAGTTCTGAAAGCACCAACTTACGTGATAATGTGCAGTGTGATAATGTGCACAACTCATAGAATTGTAATAATCAGATGTACAGCAAGCACCACAAAATTAATAGGTGCATTGACAATTATATTCATAGACATACATCAAGCACCATGCAATTCTTAAAAGGCTCCAGTACAGCAGAGACCAATAGAGTAAAGTGTGCCACACTGTGTTTTAATGGTTTCTTTGAGGAGTGGTCCTGTTAGTGCTCCACCTTAGGTGTGTGGTCGCAGCTGCGCATCTAGTCAGAATTTTGGTAGCAGTGCCCTCCGGTAGGCTGCGCATGCAAAGCAGATAGCACACGCAGTGCCGCTACTATCCATGTGCAGCCAACTGTCCCCTCAGTTTCTTCTCTGCCGCCCCCAGCGTCAGTTGCAACTGCAGTTGTTCTCCAGTTTTCTTCAAAAGACTCTTAGTTTTCTTGTTAGCATCTATTTGCTTATAGGTCTAATCAGTGTTCCCTCTAAGCTGTGTGTCAATCAGCTCCACCCAGTCAGAGGCTCAGGGCTTCATGCATGGAGTTGACTGGGTGGGGCTGATTAATCACCTTTGAACCTGTGCTGTTGCACAGCTTAGAGGGAACACTGGTTCTAATAGTTAAAACAGTTAGTATTATTTAACAAAAAAATCTTTTTTTCCCCCCCTTTGTTGAGACCATTTTTTGCCTTGACAATCTTTCCTTCCTGGAATGCCAGGTTCTCCAGGCTTTAAATGCTGCCTGTCTTGCAGGCTCTCCATGCCGGTTTCTGATGGGCACTCAGTGTGTCCAGTGCCTGGGGCGGGCTCACGTGACAGCCACATGTCTGCACTGCAAGCAGTTAACGGTCTGGTCATAGAAAGTCAGGGGGCTACCATTCAAGCTCATCTCCCTTGGACCCAGAGCACTCCACCCCCACCTCAGCAGTCCTCCCCAGTGGCTATGTCTGAGAAGGCAGCTCCCTCAAGCTACAGTGTCAGGGACTCTTCCTCTGACCAGTTCAGGAAGAGATCCCATTCAGCCAATAAGGGTGACTTCCCCTCAAAAAAACAGGGGCAAACACCCAAAAT